CATTTAGTTCTTTGTAAAGATGTTTATACATTTTGTAAAATACAAACGTTTGATGACTTTAGATGTTATGCACCATACATTTATGAAGATCATGTCGGATCGAATACGTATAATCCACTACCTTGCTTTCCCCTAAAAGATTTAGTGTTACCGGTGTAACAGTACATGTACTATTAGGACCCAATTGAATTTCGTGTGAATTAGTGAATTACTAATCACATGTAAAAAGATTATCGCTATTCAGAAATCCTAATTTGCAAAAATTCACTGTACGTATCACTTCTCGTAGCAACTAACGATGAAACCAAAAAATAAAATCAAAATGACCCTCGAAGAAGTAATAAAACTTGAGATGCCGAAATTTAATTCATTTGAAGAAGAACGTCAGCATAGAAAACAACACCTGGCTGCAGCTTTTCGTATTTTTGCAAAATACGGTTTTGATGATGGTATCACATGTATTTATTCAACTTGAATTACGATACATATTACAATATAACTCTTGTTTTTAGGATTCGTTGGCCATATTTCATGCCGAGACCCTGAATTTCCTGATCGTTTCTGGTACTAAATATTATTATCTTTTAAAATCAATTTATATCTCTTAATAATAACTAGTTATATTTAAAATATGTGTTAGGCTAAACCCGCTTGCCACGCATTTTTCGCAAATTAAAACGTCCGATTTGATATTAGTGTCGCATGAAGGCGAATTACTTTCACCAAATAAAGGCAAAAAAAGTTTAATTAATCGCACTGCCGTATTGGTCCATGCAGAAATACACGAAGCTAGACCGGACGTCGTTGCTGCCTGTCATTGGTGTGTACATAAAATTTAATTTATAATTAATACTCACTACTAAATCAAAAAACAAAATACCTCTTTTTTATTAATTGACAATACATAGCCACACAGTGTACGGACGCGCTTTTTCTTCTCTCGGTCGTCGACTCGATCCTATAACTCAAGACGCTTGTGTTTTTTATAATGATCATACAGTATTCGATGATTTTAGTGGCGTGGTTGTTGAAAAGAGTGAGGGCGTGCGTATATCACAAGCTCTCGGACCTCGTAAAGCTATTATTCTTCAGAATCATGGATTGATGACTGTTGGACATTCGGTAGACGAAGCTGCATGGTGGTTTATCGCATTGGAGCGCGCTTGTCAAGCGCAGTTACTTGCTGATAGCGCGTGTGCTGGAAGAGCTAAAGATGAAACACCTATTAAAATTAACGAAAAATTGGCGAGTCAAACGCATGATTTCTTGGGAACTCCATTCTATGGTAGTTTTATTTTTTCGTTTAGCACAAGTCAATATTTGTTAATTCTACAATTTACAATTTATATTTATTTGCAGGATGGCTCAATTTTCAGCCGCTCTACGACATGGTTATTGCTGAACAACCCGACCTATTGAAATAATTTACTTTAAATTTGGCTGGTTATTCTATCGAAACTGAAAATTTGTTAATAATGATCATTATACATGTAGATGTAAAATTAACATTTTCAATAATACTCTATAAATTAATAAAACCTTAAATTTAATATTGAATGATTCAAATAACCATAATAAATACGAACTTCATGCTATACATATAATTATAACTCTAATTTAAAAGTCGCCTGAGACGTTTTTCCCGACATGATCGCCCTCGCAAAAGCACGCGTTTCCATTTGACCAAAAGTTAAAGTGAATTCCAATGGACGACCAAGACCAAGGTGAACATCAGGAATTTCCTTGATAATAATAAAGTCAATATAAATTCAAAATTACTGAATTATAAAGTTGCCAGGTGCTCACCAAATCAAGTGTTCCAAAAAGCTCCATTCCTGGGTCTTCACAGTATTTTCCATCATCAGCCTTAGTTGTGTAGATCATGAAACTAGCCTTAGACTGATTTTTATACACCGGACAAACTTTTTTTTTGAATTCTTGATCGACTGGAACTTCAGTGCTCTTTTTAGCTAACCTTTCAAAGTAACAAATCCTTTTTTCCGAATCTATCATTATAATTCTCGAAACCGGATCATTAGGGGTCCAATCACGCAGCATTCTAATACCATAAGTATTTCTGAGAACGCGAGTTTTAATTGTATCCATTTTAAGACCTGCATAAATCAACATATTATGAAATTGGAAATAATTTATTATTATGCATTTAATCAAAACTCACCATAAAGGGCAGCTCCTCTCACAATGCTAGCAATTGGACCAGAAGGTACAGAAATATAAGGAATCCGCGCATTGAATTCATTTCGAATTTTAAGCAACAAATATTTGGATTCCGAAAAACCACCGACCAAAAATATTGCTGAAATATTCTTTCTTGATTTTGATATCTGTCGATGAATAAGATTAATAATTTGCCCGACAACACTATCAAAAAATGATTTAACTAATAAAAAATCCAATTCTATCATCCATTCTGATTCTTCTAATATATCTCTTTCCTCTCCTTTAACGTATTGCAAAAGAACAGGACAAACTTCTTCAAGATCAATTTCTTTATTCCGCCAGCTTCTTTCAATGCCATCGAACGGAAGCTTTACTTGTGTACAGAAATATTGAACCAAATATTGTAATTGAGGATAGTGCTTCTCCTCTAACAATTGATAAGCAGACAATCCGATTTTACGAGCAAGAAACTTTTTAAATTCTTTATCGATATATGTAGATCCGCAAAAACCGCCAGTACTTTCTGTGAGTTCGCTTAATTTCGAACCGGGGAGAAGAGTGCGAACCGTCAAATCAATCGTACCGCCGCCACAATCAACAATCATAAATGAATCTGCACGCAAGAAAAAATTATAGGCAAACCAAATTTGACTAATGAATATAAGAAATAAAATTTATCTCACCTCCTTCTTTCAACAGATGTTCACTTATATTTTCAAGACAATATATTGCAGCAGCTTCCGCTAAATGAATACAAAAGATTGTGCTTTAATAT